TGCACATTGAATATTGCAATAAATGGCTAGAAACAAATTTTGCCACACACATATAGAAAACAAATGGAAACTGAATGAAGTAAGTTTCAGCAGCAAATGTCAGACAATGACATTGTTTTCTTGCATCAAGTGAGTCTAGACTGAACACAAATACACACATGCACGCAAAAAAAGACTGAGTTAGAAATGCATTCTCTTTTATTTCTGGCATTTGGCAGCTCAATATTTAAAAACCTGGTATTACACAAATATTTCAGGAGGTGACTCCAAAAGATAATTACTAAATATTTACTGGCAATTAATGTGGAGCAGGCATAGTAGAAAAAACTGGGTTAAAATCATCCTACCATTTGGTAGAATGTATAAAACCATAAAAAGTTTGGATACTATCTTCTGAGAACCACTTAACAAAAGGTACATAATTTATAAAGTAATCACAGAACCTCTTTTCTCTATGCTCTTATCTCATTATAAAAATTTACATGAAAAATAAAACGTAACGCACAAATACAAGATAAATATAGGAGAAAAAGGCACACAGAAATTTCTTATGCAGAGTTAGACACCATTTTGAGAGGCATGAGAGTACCAAGTAAACTGAGTACCTGCTCAACTGTTTGAGAATTTTAACAATCTCTGTGTATAGGTGACTTCATTAATAACAGACCTCACACATTTCTTAGTTTGGAAAATATTACACGGGAGTCAGGCTTTCACCATGGTTTCCCACTGGAAGGGACATGTCAGCATGATAAATGGCTAAATTTATATTCATAATAATTTAAAACAGGGAAGTTTGGACTAAATAATGTGCACCTCAGCCTTCTAATTAGGCTAGGACTGCAAGGATATGCTGCCATGAAACCCAGCTATTTTATTTTATATTTTGTTTTTTAAAGACAGAGTCTCACTATGTTGCCAAGGCTTGTCTTGAAATCTTGGCCGCCAGCAATCCTCCCACTTCAGCCTCCCAAGGAACTTGTTTGTCTTTTTCTTTTACTTGGAGATTATCTGTATGCCTTTATATCTATATCTGTATACCTGATAATGTTGAATGTTAACACACAATAAATAAAATACAACACAATATGGAAAATGTGTGTGGGGTTTCAGAACTGATGCAATCCTCCGCTCTTATTTAGTATTATTGTCAATGTTAAAATGATGATGTGTCTAACTCAGGCTTTCGCTCTTCAAAAGGGAGAAAAGGATCATGGAAGAGAAAGAAACAGATAAGAATAAAGTTCTGAAAAGTGAGGCCTGTGACACTGACCCATCTTCCTTCTGGGGCCATTTTCTTTAGGTGAGTCATATAATGGGATGTCCATGGGCCAGACCATTGAAGGGCCTAATTTATGACAGTTGTAGGGCAAGGTCAGAATTATTTTTAGAAACTCTCTTATATCAATTTGACCATCTTTATCCTAGGTCACATAAACATTTTCTGTGTTGTAGTTATGTTATTAGTTATGTTATTCGATCTTAATGTGGATTTCTAGAGTAATTTTATTTAATCCATTATTTAGTATATTGGAGTCATTTCTGATAACTATGGAGCTATTGATATTTCATTTGTTAATATTAAAATAGCCTAGAAAGTATAGTACTATGAAATAAAACAGTCCCAGAAACACTGCTGTTCTGCCTTTGCATAATCTATGCTTTACCCAATTAATAAAAAAGGACTTTAATTTATTGACACGTTTTCGGGTTGTGCAATGTGTGCACAGATCACGATGCTGGTTTGCTTATGCCTGCACAAACTTGGATTTTTCTCTGGTTTTTGCCTTTTTCAACCCCACCCTTTTGCTTCTTTGAAGTCATTGCTTTCTTAATCAAGTTAAGAATACTTACATAAGTAGGGCATTGCTGACATGCTATACATCTATTTTATTTTCCGAAATAAAGAAAGAGCTCCCTCATCCAGTGGGAGCATCGTTCCATCATGCTCCAGATCCTATTCCTGCTTCCTCACACCCAGGGAGTTGCACTTTTTTAATGTAAGAGCTGCTTTCTAAGCAGCCTGGATGCTGAATGGCTTTCTCAAAAGTGAAAACCAGGCAGTATTGGGAAAGCCCATCTTTCCATCATTTCAGCTAACTTTCACTGTACACCTTGTATTCACTGGTCACTGTGCAAAAAACCAGGGATGAAGAAATTCAAAGCCAGCAACAAATAAGGCACAATTTCTCTACTCCGGAAGTTTACAGACTGGTGAAGGCAGACATAGGCAAAAGAGTAGGATGCAGTTCAATAGCTAAAGAATTTATCCCTGCTTACTAGCTGTGTGACCATAGGTAAGTTCTTTATCTCTGTACCATGAGTGTCTTCATTTGTAAAATGGAAGTGATGTCAGTCCATACCTATCTTGTGTGGGCTGTAAAAATTCAATAAGCTTCCGCAATTAGCATGTAATTAGCTCTCAACAATGATATGATGTTATGATGTGATGGACGTTTGGATGTGTGATGTGAACACTATGTGGCAAGAATAACGCTGAAAGAGAAAGAGAGGGGCACCTCTGGTTGTTGTCCAGGAAGGTCTAGAGATATATGGCTATTTAATTTACAAAGAACAGTTAGAACTGCAAAAACAATGTTCATCCGGTCTTGATGAGAAAGAAATCATGAGTCCCCCAAATTAAACCCTCTCAATTGATGAAGTGACCAGGATTACTCAGAGTGCAGTTTTTCTTCCTGGTGCACCCCTGAAGCACCAGGACATCGTTCCAGAGTCTAGGAACGATGCTTATCAATCTTTTGCCATTGGCTTCTACTTGCAGGTGCCTTCTCTACTATTCAATCATATACTATAGTTTGAAAGACAAATGAACTCAAGAAAAGCGGAAAACAATACTGTGGTTTTTAAATCTGTCACTGTTCTTCCCCCACTTCAAAGTTGACTTGACAACTGCATTTATTTCACATTGCAATTGCTACAAGTTAATAATATTGTTTTATCAGGAAACATTTATCTTGAGGAAGAAAGTTATCCTAATACAGCAGATAACTTATCCAAGGACAAATAGAAAGGGGCTGTGTCTAGAGGGTAATGCTAATGCATGGCATGCTATAAAAATAAATGAAATCTGATTAACACTATTGGAGGGAAGAATAAGTCATCGTTTCTATGAAATATTATTTTCCTGATTGGAACCATTTCCATTTTTGTCAGCTTAAAACATTGTATTAAAGATGAGATCACTTTAAAACTGTGACAGCTATCTCAAGCCTTGTGATTATAAATGGTGTTATAGGCTTGTAATCCTGTTGTTCTAGACTGAAGTATTTTCTTCATAAATTGAAAGAGAAACATACTAGGAATTCAGAAGATTTTAATCAAAATTCAAAAAATTTAATGGGAATTTGAAAGGCTGGCTCACTAAGTATTCTTGATAGTGAATTTAATTTATGGAAGAAAATTCCTAGCAAATTTGGCTATGCCAAAAATAGCCTGCATATGCTCTTTTTCTTGGAAATGAATAAATATATATATATATTTATTTATTTATTTATTTATATATATACAATATATATTTTCATGGAAGCAACATTAAGTACCCTGCTTTTACTGATTCACATAGATTAGTTCATTTTCAGCTCCATTTAAATCTGTAAATTTAACCTAACACCTATGGAAAGGTAACAATTGTTTTTTAAGGGAGAAAAATAGATCATGACAGGTTAGATAGCATTGACTTCATGATAGAGCTAGTCTCTTTTGAAAAAAATAGTTTATTAATGTATTAAGTGAAAGCAGTGTGGGTCACAAATTAGGAAAGAATGCACCTGGACGTGATTTATTTTGAATTGGACTGCTGAAACACATCTTGTATAAAATCACTCATTCCTGTTTTTCTGTAAGTTTGCCTGCAGCATTGTATGGCATCTCTTAGAATGTGTTACACAACTCAGCAGTGCCAAGGCTAAGCAATGCAGAGGACAGGTTGAAAGCTGGTATTATGCAAAAAAATTTTTTAAAAATTAGCAAAAACAAGCAGGTGGGTTGTTTATGGTAATGCAGGTGTGGTTTCAGTAATAAATCAACCCACTTATAATGATAATAGCTTGTATTTATGCAAGCCCTTTATGAAGCCAAATGTATCTTTAAAATATAATTATTTTCATTCAAAATGCATCCTTGTGATTAGCAAGGGCACAGGTTTAATTAACTCTGTTTTATGGATGAGGAAATTCACCATGTCCTCTGCTGATAGGCAAGTATTTCCATGGAGTAGATTCAACATCCTTTTCTGCTGCTTAGTTAGACCTAGGTATGGAAACAGTGGGTCTCTACTGATCACCAAAGAGATGACTGAAAACGGGACAATGAAGAGAGAACAGAGAAAGTCATCACAACAACTGTGCATTGGGGCACCAGAGTGCCTGTAGCTGAATTTCCAAAGCAAATTTCCAGTTCATAAGTTGGAAAGGTGCTCCATGTTGGAGCACCTTTTCTTTTAAACAAACAAAAACCCAAAGAACCAAGATGGAAATAACTGAACTGCTGTAGATATTCCCAAGCTTTAATGCACACAAATCAACAGAAATCATTGTGCTTTTGTAAAACTCAAATTTGAGTTTTAGCCTACTGAAAGGTGTTACCCAAACGTAGAAAATCAGTCATTCTGTTCGTTAATTCTTCAGCTGGCTCTGAAGTTGCTTAAGAAAAAGAGAGAAGAAAATGAGAGATATTGGGTTATTTTTTCCTACTCTGAGATAATTTATATCATTTTCCATCCAACAAAAGCTTTACTTTCTGCCAGACATTAAATAAGAAACTGCTTTGTTGAGAGGAGATTCAAGTGTTTTAGTTGCTATTTAGTTTGTTTTGTTTTTTCACTCACAAAATGGGATCCTTTCTGAAAGTTCTGTTGCAAATGCACAGTTCATAATTATGTTACTGTGGGTGTGCGGGGTTGGGGAGGAGTCACAATGCAGAGTTAAAGTGGCCTTATTTTTGAGATAGAGTTTTGCTCTGTAGCCCAGGCTGGAGTGCATTGGTGGGATCACAGCTCACTGCAACCTCCAACTCCTCGGCTCAAGTGACCCTCCCGCCTTGGTCTCCCACACCTCTGCGAATACAGATGTGAGCCTCTGTGCATGGCCCAGCCACTCCTTTTTAATGTGAGAAGATGAAGAAAGACAAATTCCACACTGGGAACCAGGTAGGTGTCCCTCGCCTCCCATATCCCCAGAATCAATCATTAGGTAATTTTCAGAGTAGGTCCTTCAAGCCAACTCATGTATTCATTCATTTTTGTTCAAAAATATTGAGTATCTCTTCCACACAAGGCAGTTTTTGAAGAGCTGGTGTATGGCGGCCAACAGCATAGACACAGCCTTTGCTTTATGGTGTTGATTGTCTGGTGTATGGTGTGGCATTTAGTCGATAGAATGATTTGTACACCCAGGAACACAGACACTCTTACTCTGTATGTCTGGAATGGCATATCAGTGATGCATTGAATCTCAATAAATTTGATAACAAGGTAAGAAGACCAGGTCTTCAGTTCAACATTAGGGAAATTCCCCAGTGACTGATGCTTTGCATCTCGTATTGTCTTGTAAGGACAATTAATAGAGCCTTGGCAGAAGCAAATTTATCAGTGAATAAATGGTCACTCCTATTTTTAAGTGCCATCCTTTCAGTTCTGTAAAAATACGGAATTATTTTATCAAATTGTCTGAGCTCAGGCCCCCTACATCTGTCCGTGTCATCTCCGTCAGTGGCACTCTTGGAGAAAAAAAAATGACGTTACAATAAAAAGTTATATCTGTGACCCCTTCCACCAAGGTACCCACAACTTTCTTCACCAGTGCACATGGCAATGCTCTTGTGAAATTCTTTTTAGGTTATCATACTACATTATCTGTAGGTGGTAGTAGGTTTGAAAATTATTATTATTATTATTATTAATATTTTTTTTACTGCAACAACCTAACAGGAAAACTAAACAGAGATCAGGGAGAGAGTGGTATATCAGTCAGGGACTAATCAGGAACATAACCCACTTGAGAATTTAAAATAGAGCATAGGCTGGGGAGTCGGTGACAGCATAATAGGACAGCTACAAAGCAAACAGGAATAGGGAGGCAATCCAGAGCCCATCTAGGCCAGCAGGGTCATCATCTCCAGGCTGGAAGGGCAGAAGAAGTGGAGCCAGGAGATGCACGGTCTCCTAGGGGAAGCTGGAGCTAGGGTGTGCCTGCCAGGCAGGAGCTGGAGTCACAGATACAACATTGACTATCACATTGTCATCAGACTCAGAGAGAGAAAGGTGTAGATATCCAGTATTCTCGTATGCTTTCCCTATACTTCATGCCCCACCCCCAGCATCCCCTGAGACATTCCCAGTTGGAAGTCAGTGGCTTATGGGAATCTGGCTGGAGGGGCATCAGTCTACCTGTGGCACACAGAAAGGCACAGAAACAGTGAGTCATGGATTTGAGCACAAACAAGCCCAGTTCCGCCACAGAGATTTACAGAAAATACTTTGTTACTGTTGAAGAGGGATATCTATAAGAGAGTTGAGGAAAGTGAGTGATAGATCCTTTTACAATATTCTAGTGGAGTCTGTATGGGGGAGGCGGCAGGAGGCTATGGGAACTCTGTACCTTCCACTCATTTTGCTGTGAACCTAAAACTGCTCTAAAAGATAAAGTCTATTAAAAACATATTTTAAAAAAACTAACAAATGTTCTTAAAATTGACTAATGAGTTCAGAGAATAAATTGAGGATGAGATGAATATGTAAAAACATCAGCAGCTCTGTACATCAAAAAATACTCAGCTAAAAATTATAAATGTTTAAAAGATCACAGAAGATAAACATGAGCATATCCCTCCCCATCTTATCTTTATTATTTTTTCCTATTTATATAAAAACAATGGGATATAAACAAATAGAAAATAATACTGAAATATTTACAGGGAATCATGAAAACAGATTTTAAGAAATTAAGATCCATATGGCCAGGTGTATTGGCTCACACCTGCAATGCCAGCACCTTGGAAGACCGAAGTTGGCATATCACTTGAGGTCAGGAGTTTGAGACCAGCCTGGCCAACATGGCAAAACCCCATCACTACTAAAAAATACAAAAATTATCCAGTTATGATGGCATAAGGCTGTTATCCCAGCTACTCAGGAGACTGAGGCAGGAGAGTCATTTGAAACTGAAAGGTGGAGGTTGCAGGGAGCTGAGATCCCGCCACTGCACTCCAGCCTGGGAGACAGAGCAAGACTCCATCTCAAAAAAAAAAAAAAAAAAAAAAATTAAGATACCTATGTTGTTTCTGGGTGGCAGCACTCAGTATAGTAACCTATATTTTCTTCACAAATGAATAAATATTAATCCAATCTGGAATACAGTTCCAATAGTGATATTAACATTTTCGTTTCAGCTTTTGTTTAGTTTGTAGGACTTACATAAATTTGTTTATGAATCATCTGGAGAAAAAAAAAAAGAAAGAACAGCTAAATCATGGTTACAAATATCAAGTGATAGAGTCCAAGAGTCCAACAATATAAAACATAAATAAACACATCAAAGCTATAGTCACTAAAATAGGAAGATTTTCTTGCAAGACTAAGAAGTAGATCAATGGAATCAAAGGGAATTCCAAGCAGACACACACACACACACACACACACACACACACACACAATTTAATATTTTTTAACAGTGTTATACTTTGTTGAGAAGAGAAACTGACATTTAATAAATGTCATAAAATATAGTGGAATTTTAACTTTTGATAACAGAAAAATACTTACATAAGTAAAATAAGTATATAAATTTGTCATCTAAACATATGTAAGTATATATTTATATCAAGTAAAAAATAAGAAAATGTATATTTATGTACCTTTAAAAACATATATGCATATCAAAAGATGTGAAGGAGAGATTACAGGCTGGGCACCGTGGCTCATGCCTGTAGCCTCAGCACTTTCGGATGCCAGGTGGGCAAATTACTTGAGGTCAGGAATTCGAGACCAACCTCAGCAACATGGTGAAACCCCATCTCTATTAAAAATACAAAAATTTGCTGGGCATGTTGGCTGAAGCCTGTAACCCCAGCTACTTGGGAGACTGAGGCAGCCTACTTGAACTCATGATTTGGCAGCACAAGATCATGCCACTGCACTCTAGCCTGGGCCACAGAATGAGACTTTGTCTCAAAAAAAAAAAAAAAATTCAAATATACGAAGAGTCTTTCATATTTTTAGCTACTGGACAATTTATTTCCTTCTGCTTTGCATATTTAGCCTAATATCATGTACCACTTAATGATTTACAGTTTGGGGACACATTGTTAATAATAGGTAGTATTTGTTGAGTCCTTAAATCATTTGACATGAACTGACTCATTTAATCCTCTTAACAATTTACAAGGAACATATTCCCTCACTTCATTATGTAAATAATAAAACAAAGGCCTAGAAGGGCTAGCAACTTTCAGAAGATCATATTGTCACTTTGCAACAGGTCTGGGATTTGGGTCCCAGAGAGGCGGCTGAAGCCACCATGCAACTGAATCCTGAGTAGCAGAGTTCAGTCTCATTTAACAAGACGGCATCCACGTAGATTAAGGAATCTTAGCTCTTAAAAGGTTCTTCGAATTACATTTTTCCACCCAAGCCTATGATCACTCAATTGGCTGTGTAAGGTAGTTTGATAGGCACTCGCATTATTTTTCTGATTCAAAGAGAGTCTTTTCAAGCGCTACTTATTCAGGATGAGAGGTCAATAATTTCCCGGAATCCAGGTGTGCTTCTGTAGACTCCCGTTTGTCCTTGAGCTCTCACGAGCCATCACCCTTGCTTCCAGAAAGTTGAGTTATTTGTGTGCCCTAGACTGTGAAATCAGAGAAGGTCTGTTTCTATGGGAACCAGTTTATTTCATCCAAGAGGGCAGTGAAGAGTCATTTGTGAATGCTACAGAGTGAAGAAGAAGTTCACCACACAGCACATCCTCAATTTGAAACACCATTTCTTTCATTTCCCTTTTCTCCTTCAGAAATGTCTCCTTTTAAAAAAAATTATTTATTTTACTTTAGGTGTATACTATATCTGGCATTTCTCTCCATGTTATCCCTCCCCACGCCCCTACTGTCTCTCCCCTAGCACCCCTAACTGCCCCCAAATGTGTGATGTTCCTCTCCCTGAGTCCATGTGTTCTCGTCATTCAACATATGTCTACTTTTAATCCCCTGTAGCTGAAGGAATCACAACGTCTTTCCCTGACAGTCTAGATAAACTCTCTCCTGATCCATATTCAAAGTATCTAAAACCCTGAAACAAGTTCTCACGGAATACAGGTAGACACATTTTGTAGCCTTCCTCATCCCCTGAAGTAGAAATGACAACATCAGAATATATAAGAATGTATTGCTTTAATAGAGGGGCCTTGAATCTTTGGGCAGAAATGGGAAGAAGGAAGAAGGATAGGTGATTGATAAAACCAATATTATTATTCTTGTCTTTGTTTCTGAATGTCTCCGCTTTCTCAGTTGCTCAATTCCAGTTACAATTCAAGAAAAAATATTTGTAACCCTAACTTGACAGATTGTTGTTCACTGTTGAGCCTTTAAAATATAAAGACCAATATTTTATTTATAACCTACAGTTTTCAGTTTTTCTAAGTATCTTTAAACATTTTTATAGTAAGTGATACAGACTCCTATAGAAACCAGTGCTTGACAAGATATCTCAGTATTACCTAGAAATAATACTTTTCATGCATTTTATTATGAAAATATTTATTTTTGAAAAATAGGCTCTTAAATTTTTATAAACAGAAAAAAATACAATGGATTTATCATGATCTAGTCATTTCCTGAAATTAAGGAGATTTGTGAGTGCATGAAGATGTTTTCCAAAAGTCTATCTTGGAGATCAAAAACATCGCTAAAAATGTGAAAGTAATTTTTTCAAGAAAGGCCTTTGCCAATTATCCTATCTCTAAATTTTAATTTGGTATAATGACATTTAAGAGACTAGATATATACATTATTCCATCATGGCATGAAATCAATGTACAAATTATTTTATCATGGAATGAAATTAAACACCTAGTTTATAGAAATAAAGTAAGGAAAATGTAAAAGTATGTCAGCTGATTCATAAATGTAATTGGATGTGAAAACTTCAATATGAAG